GTTTCGCGTCGGTACGTTCGAGTCAACGTTGAGCGCACAACGCCATGTTTTTTAGCTATTTTAGACCAGGGGATTTGATCTTTAGATTCGAAAGTATCACACTCTTCAAGCGCTTCTTCTAAGCCCATTGCGTTGTATTGTTGTAAAGTTGAGACGATAGAGAGGTTTTGGTGGTTCGGCGCATTGCGCGAATCCGCGCATTCCGCGCACGGACACAGTATGGGCAGGCGCGCTAAGACGCGTCCGCCTCCTCTACCAACTTCGAAGTTGCCCCCCAGAGGCTTTGTTCAATCTCAAAGCACTCGTTGGTGTGCGAGACGCTTTTTTTGGACATGCTATTCATCGGCAGATTCACTCCTCACCGTTCATCGCTTCGATCGGGACTCTAGATCCATTGCTCCATAAACTTTGCCCTGCAGAGTTACTTTTTCCGACACCACTGACCCTTACACCTGGCTTATCTGAGAATCCTGTTTCACTCTGGAATAGCAAACCATATAAGACGCCACATCGTTCGTCATGGTTAGAAAATGTATTGTGACACTGGGCTCTCCCCAGCCCATCACTCCCCCTACAAACCGACGAGGTGGCCAATTGCAAGATCTTCTGGCACAGTTTGGATCTCAGAGCTCAGTAGAATCAGCGACCAAGAAAAGGCGATTGTCGGCGCAGCAGAAGAGTGAAGAAATGAAGCCGATTCCTATTCGGGACAGTAGAGGCAAACGCAACCCACCGCCTCAAACGGCGCACCACAACGTCACCTCGGATTCATCGGCTAGAGAGCAGTCCCCCGTGACTTCCAAAAGAACTACTCGACAATCAGCTTCAAAGCCAGCAAACCCAGACCCAGAAGATAGCGAAGACGAACTCGCGCCATCGGCCCGCCCCCGCAAGACGAGTGCGAGAATATCGGCATACACGGAGGAGCTTAAGATGGAGAAGCGCAAGAAAGAAAAGGAGAGGACAGACGGACTGCGACGGGGCACTCGGGATAGGAGGAGCGCCATCCTGGAGTCTGACACCATAGTTACTCCACCACGACGGCGGAAATCAGCGCCACCCCCTCGGAGACTCGACACCGCCCGCAACCGTCTTCGCGATGACATTGCCAAAGGGACCAGGGCGAGAGCGAACAGTTTTCTTGTTGCCAACAAAGAGTTCTTTCTGCCACTTCTGCCCAAAAACAACTACGTCGTGAAACTGGCAGAAGAGGGTAAAGCGCAACCTATCGTCGAATACCAAGAGCTCAAGGAGCAGCCCAAGGGAGTTACAGCCGTCATGAAGCCTTACCAGCTGTCTGGTCTATCGTTTCTCGTTCACCTGTATAACAACGGGTTCTCTGGTATACTCGGTGACGAGATGGGTCTTGGAAAGACGCTGCAGACTCTTTCTCTCTTCCAATACCTCGAAGAGCTTGATGAGCAGAAGGGCGTCGTATCAGAAGAACCCCGTCCGTACCTTGTCGTCTGTCCGCTAAGTGTGCTCAACTCCTGGGTAACAGAAGCTGAAAAGTGGGTGCCACAGCTTGGAGTTATGCGGTTCCATGGTGCCGTGAACGAACGGACTCGTCTTAAGCGGGTTGCGGCTGGCTTAGAAGATATGAAAGGAAACGAAACCTCACGCGCACGAGATCGAAAAGCGTTGCGCAAGGCCGGCCAAAAGGTCTCCAAGCTGCCCGGCCCTTCTGACTCTTTCAAGATTGTCGTGACGACCTACGACGTCTTCCAAGCGGAGCAAGCTTGGTTCAAGCACTCTTTTGCCTGGCGCTATGTTGTTCTGGACGAGGGCCATAAGATCAAAAATAGCCTAGCCCAAATCTCCACGGCGTTGAAGAGCATCAATGCTGAGTACCGACTTATCCTGACAGGAACGCCGCTTCAGAACAACATGGTTGAGATGTGGTCACTTCTGACTTGGCTGTACCCCACCGTTTTCGACGACAGGACTGAAGCGCTGTTCCGAGAGTCATTCGACCTTAGCAAAGGCAAAGCAAACAAGCAGACTATGACAGATGCCCGACGTTTGCTCGAGCTTATCATGCTGCGCAGAATGAAAGACTCTCCATCAGTCAATCTCGGCCTGCCGCCTAAGGAAGAGGTACTTCTTTACGTGCCCCTTACACCGATGCAGAAGTTTTGGTACACGCGCCTTTTGACTCGTATTGATGATGGTATGCTTAATGAACTCTTTGCCGACGGTAAGGAGAAAGAGAAAGCTGCTATTGAACATGACGTCCAGGAGAACAAGCTATTGCAGCAATTGGAGGAAATGGACAAAGTGATCAGCACTGGCAGCGTTGGAGACGAATGGGAAGAGACTGCAAAAATTGTGCAAGAAGCTGTAGCAAAGGAACAAGCCGATGCGAGCGCTTCAAAGGGAGCTTGGAAAAAGCTCATGAATCTCGTCATGCAGCTACGCAAATGCTGCTCGCACCCATACCTGCTTCCAGGAGGAGCACCAGACCCATACTACCTGGGTGATCATGTCATCCGCGCTTCAGGCAAGTTCATTCTGTTGGAGAAACTCCTCAAGCATACGGTCTTTGAGCAAGGCAAGAAGGTTCTCATCTTCTCGGGTTTTGCTCGCACACTGGACTGTTGTGAGGACTTGCTATCTCTTGTCAGCAACCACGGTGAAAAATTCAAGTATCTTCGCTTGGACGGGAGCACGGCTAGGGCTCGTCGAAACTTGGACATCCGCCTTTTCAATCAGAAAGATTCGGACTACAAGGTCATGCTTCTTTCTACTCGTGCAGGTGGCTTAGGCATCAACCTTACCAGCGCCCAGGATGTCATATTCTTGGATGAAGATTGGAATCCACAGATTACTCTCCAAGCCGAAGCGCGGGCTCATCGTATCGGACAGACCAAGAAAGTAACGATATACAAGCTCTGTACCCAGGGGACTGTCGAAGAGCAGATGATGGGTCGCATCCGGAAGAAGCTTTACCTCTCTGCGAAGATTACTGAATCCATGCAGAACGTACATGGCAAGCAAGCAGTTGCAAAAAGGTCAGCGGGACGCCCTTCCATCGACGAAGACATGCCACAAATGGATACCACACAACTGATGACACTTGTACGGCGAGGTGCACAGACACTCTCACACCCTGAGATTGAGGTCAAGGAAATGGTTTCTTGGGATCTGGAGACAATGATGAAGAAGTGCCGCGACCAGTCTGCCGATTTGGCTGATACGACACAATCCGAGGTTGACGAAGACAAGTGGCTTTCCACTATGGAGCGTGTCGAATGCGCCGTGTTTGAAGGCAAGCGTCACCAGCGCAACCTCGATAAAGGTTCTAGTGCAGATACCTCGTCTAGGAATATTCTACCAGAAACGATTACTAGGGAAGACCGCCGCACGAACAAGAATACTACAGTCATGGTCAACGGCTATGCTATTAATAAGGAGTCTATGAACTGTGGCGACTGGGAAGCAGTGCCAACTTTTGCCGGTAAGGACCCACGTCTTGCTGAGCCGGTTCGAGAAAAGCGACGCGAGTTCAATCACGAAGATCACTGCCTTGAATGCTTCGAAGATGCCGACGCTGGGCAGCTCTTCGAGTGCAAGACCTGTCCCCGAGTCTACCACTTCGACTGTCTGGACGACCACTATCAGGGCAAAGTCAAGGGTCCTTTCAGTGGCTTCCATTGCCCCCAACACAACTGCACTGACTGTGCAAAGACCACAGCCGATGCAGGTGGTCTCATCTTCCGATGTCGCTGGTGTCCCCGGGGCTACTGCGAGGACTGTCTTGACTGGGACAATACCGAGCTTATCGGTGAGAATCTACCTGAGTTCGAGGTCCTGGGTGAATACGCAATGTCAGGTGGTTTCTACGTCAAGTGCCCATCTTGCGTCGAATCGGCCAAGGAGGACCCAGAGCAAAGGGCGTGGATCGAGGAAAAGGAAAAGACGTACAAGGAGGAGCATGCTGCTTGGTTGCAGGAGCGTGAAACAGTGCAGAGCGTCAAGATTCAGGATGACGACGAAGCTAGTTTACCACCGGGGCTCACTGATACTTCGCTCTCGACTCCTGTGCTTGGTGGTTCTGGGGTCACTACGCCTGATGGAACGGAGACGTTGTTGCCAATCCCTACGATTACGAAGAAGAGGAGTCAGATGTTTGACGAGACTAGTGACAAGAAGAAGACCAAGCGTGGCTTGTAAGGTCGGTCATTGGTCTCTTGATTACATGGCATTTATGATGTGCGAAAAAAGAGGCGCTGAAATGCAGACGTGCTGGTTCTTCAGTTGCATTTGAACTACCAATGGTCATCTCACAGCGTCAGTCGGGCGTTACATCTCCGGTTTATATACCCATAGAAGTTTGATGGCTTTTTTTCTTTTCTTTTGCTATGGCTGTCTCGCATGAACAGTCGCGCAACATGTATATTGGATTTACAATGATGATCCTTCGTAAAGGCGTTTATCATGCATACTTCTTTGAGTCTTCAGTCCTAGCCATCCTCTGTTATCAACATACGAATGTCCTCCGGATCTTGCTCGACTCTAATACCATTTAGCATTCACCCATAAAAGTCGCTGTACTACACACTTGCCTCACTGTTTCTGACCAGACCCTTCTTTCGTCCCTGAACACCGTCAGGCACCTACACATAATTCCTGTCGAGAAAACCCCACTAACCAAACATACTTCCCCCACCACCCCCTCTCCTCCCACCCCTCAACGCCTCCTTAACCAGCCACTCCCTCAAAAACTCCTTATTCCGCATCTCCTCCGGCCGCGTCAATCTTGTATCAAATTGCGCTTCCTGCCGACTAAACGCCAGCAGCGTCGGCATACTACTAATCTGTCACTTTGATTAGCCTTCACCTTCCTCCCCTCCTCTTCCCAGCGAGAAAAGAAAAAAACTCACTCGATACCTAACCGGCAAATCCTCAATCAACACCGAATCCATCATCACCTCCACGAAGCCTAACCCGCCCTCCCTCTCCCCCACCTTCTCTTCCTCAATCAATTTTCGCAACAGCGGTTTGATAGCTTGGCAGGTCTGGCACCATGATGCGGTCCAGAAGGTTACCAGGGCGCGGTTGTCGGCGGCGTTGAGGAGAGTCAGGGTGTGTAGGTCGTTGGGCTGGCGGATGGGATCGAAGATGCGGTTTGTAGGGGGGCGCGAGGAGGGGAAGAGGGAGAAGGTGCGGGGGGTTGGGACGGAGAGGCGGAGGGTGGTGGGACGGAGTATCATTTTTTGGGCAGATTGAATTGGGAAAGGCGGTGGTGGTGATGTTGTTGTTGTTGTGCTTGTGTGGTTGGACAATTGGAATTTGGTGGTTCGCGGTGACGCGTGGGATGAGGGATGATGTCATAAATGCCAAGGTTTTGTAGGATGGTCGCGTTTCCACGTGGTGTGCCTGTTCTGCTTTCATTATCTCACGTGTTCCTAATATGTATCATAAGGTCGAGAATAGGGTTTTGCATTTGAAAGAGATGGCATTTTAAAAGAGTATTGCGTATATGAGATTGGATATTCGAACTACTGACATCCTCCCCTAAGTCAAGTACCAGTTATGGAGTACTGCGTAAGCGTTGGCGGGACCCTAATATCATTGGTGCTTCTTCACGAAGAGCACCATAGATGGATTTTTCTATCACTGGTGCTGCGGTCATCATAGCCGGCCATGCAGTTCCCATCCAGACCGGAATGGCGATCAATGTCCCAACTCCTGTGAAGGCACCTACGCCAAGTCCAACAGCAAGACAAACACTATTGACACCCCAGCCCACCGTTGGCGTGGTTACGGCGGCCGACACTATACTTGCGGTTTCGTGCGAGCATATGCAGTTGGGAACATTATTCGCAACACCGTGCAAAAGTCCAGTCGGCGCTGCTGGAAGATTAAATTCGACATAAGGCTTGCCCTTGTGCTTCCTTCCCTTGACTTGAAATGGCTGAAGGCAGTCCGGGAAATGTAAGGGCTCTTTGATTGAGATGCGGCCCCAGGCGGGGATCAATAAGTGGAAGATAACATCTTTTCCACATTGTGCCCTGACGCATTGCATGTACTGACATAAGGCGTCCAAGTCATCTGACTTGGCACAAAATGTGGGTGGAAGAGGGTCTTCTCGAATCAGTCGACGGAATCCTCCATACCAGTTTGTGTCAGGGTGATACACAAAGAATCGATGCTTATCCGCCTCAGCCTCATCGATGTTATCGATTTCTTCTTTGATGAAATCGTAGACAGGCTGAGCAAAACCGTAAGGACCTCCACTACCCGATACAGCAATGCTATTGCTCTCGCCAAGATGATCACTTATCTCGGTCAGGATCTGGATTACCTTGTTGGCCTGAGCGATTTGAATGGCTGAAGCGGTTTGCATCCAACGTCTGTGATAGTCGATCCGATCAACAAGCGACCTTCCGATCACATGGATTTGGTGGACTTCTCGGACCACACGGTCTGCTGAATCGGCAGCCCTTCGCATGTTCTCAGCTACAAGCCTGGCACTTGCTGCCACTGCCTCAGCGCTAAACCGCACTGAATTAGAAGCAGCCTCGTCCAATACTGAGGGTCTTGTATTGGTGTTGTTGGCCATTCTGGCGTTTCGGGTTATAGCAACCAGTCGAGCGAACAACGCCACCGGCCCACAGCCACTGTATATACCGATTGCCTCCAAGATTTCAGGCGACTGTCGCATAAGGTGTGGTAGCATCGGCGCAATCCTCTTCATGAGCTCTCTAGGCAATTTGATGAACGCATCATGGACAAGGTTGACGTACGCCTCATGAAAGGGTAGATCCGGATACCGCTCCTTCATCAAGTGATTTAGTTCGATCCAGTCCACATATGCCGCAGCATCCATCTTAAGATATTGGAGCTTCTTATGCCAATTGAGATAATCGCTAGAAATAAACACTGTTGCAAGAGATAGGTAGTGGATATGAAGGAGCAACTCGAAAGGTACTGTGGCACGATACAAGATCGAGCTGTTGGAAAAGAGCTGAAACCAAATCGCTGTACTTTATTGAGTGGAGAAGTTAGTTTATCTAACTACTCCGAAAAGGAATGCCCAATACTATTTATCTGTAGTCTGATCACGTGCTACAACACCACAAAATACAACACACGATACGCCGGCTAAATAAAAGGCTCTTCTACAAGATAGAGAGGTAGGAAGAGAGTATGATAGGTGGTGCCTGCCCTGGTTATGCAAGGTGATAATGCAGTGTTACACTACCAGTCTGGATCAGCCAGTCAATGAGTAGCGCGTAGATATATTCCATACAGAACCCTGCATCCCCTCTTCCATCTCTCCGTACAGCGAGGCCGCTTGGAACTACTGATACGCGTGATCTGACAATAGACTCTCATGCTCTGTCTTTTCTCTTGTCGACATGCAAGTCTCGGGCTTCGACGGTGTCCCTAGACCTCTCGAGACGCGCGCTACGCTTGCCTATCATTATCTCCCAATTTTCAGCTTCAGACTGGATCTGATACAAGCAGTTACTAAACTTCAACGTACCAATGATTTGTCCGGTCACAGGGGGTGGTGTTCAGTAACCCAGGAAGGAATGTCAGAAAAAGATGTACTCACTGCATAGCGCCTAACTACAACGAAAAAAACAAACCAGCTAACTATCTCCCAATAATCTTACACATCCATCGGAGTCAAATGGCCAAGCAGCTTCCGCTTCTTCCCAGCCTGAGCTCCTGCATCCTGCTCAGCATACCGATCCAAGAACCTGAAACCCTCCGTCCACTTCCTCTTGATCCCCCTACGCTTCTCCAGAAACTCCCCTTCAGCGTCATCAACACGCCTCTGCAGCCCAAACAAACTATCCGCACTATCGCCATCATCTCCGTCACTCTCCTCAGTATGCTCCCAATTAGTCTCTCCGGCATTCTCTTCGCTATTCTCTGCACCACCCATTACAAAGTTATTCGAATAATCATACGGCACTTGCGCCAGACTATGCATCTCCAGCGCCGCATCTTGGTCTGCATACTGCTCTGCGATCCTCTCTCCCAAGGCGCCCTCATCGCGTTGTACAGCGGTATGTCCGAACCGGCGATTTTCAGGAACAGCACCGAAACTGCGCTCAACGGTGAGCTCCTGCGCGAAGAACCACGCAACCAGCGTGCGCCAGTCGAGGAAACCAGCTAGGGCAGCTTGAGAAAGCGTGTAGAGCTGTTTGTAAATGTCCGTGGTAAATTTGGCTTCGGGGTTGAAGTGAAGGCCCATGGCTATGATCCAGGCGTTGATCAGAACGTGGTGACCGCACTGGAATCCACCGGCCAGCTGTTGAGGCAGATCCTCGTGGATGGTGACGCCACCATCGAATTGCACGGCGCCGAATTCGTTGCGGTGCGTCGACCAGTTTGTCGATGCAGCGGCGGTTTCCACGCGCACACGGAAGAAGTCTCGGACGTTGGTGAAGATACGGAGACAGCTGTCGAAGATGTGGGTTTCGAAACACGTCTCAGCGGGGTTCCCGGAGTCGGTGTTGAGGACTTCTTGGATGAGGACGAGGAATGAGTGACCACCTGCTCGTCCAGTGGGACTCCTGTACGTCTTGCCGTTCGTCTTGGCCCAGACTTCTAGTTGCTCTAGTAGTCCGTTCTTGGTTGCAACAAGTGGAATGAGCCAGGCCCTTCGGGGGCGTGAGAAGGGGGTGCTTTCGATACCGTTCAGTGCCAGTTGGAGGGCGGTGCTGGTTGTCAAGGCGAAACCACCGGCAAAGGGGCATTGCGATCCTGACGCTGCATGAAGGCCTGACTGCAGGTTGTCGATGGCTTCGAGGACAGATGCCATGGCAAGGTTCAAATCAGAATCGTCCATGAGACGTTGCCAGTCATTTGGTCTCGCGACACCCTTGTTGTTCAGCATCTGCTGGACCTTGGGGGTCTTTCGAATTTGGTCGTAGAAATCAAGGGTGTCTTCGACCCATTCGCCGGGCTCCTTTTGGATGTCTGAGTCCATGCCTTCGTAATGCGAATTGATCTCGTTACGGATTACTTGTACAATTGCTTCCTGGCTAGATGCGCTAGACTGCGAGTTTGCTGGTGGCAGTTTCTTCATGCAGTTTTCGACTCGGGTCTTGGCCAGGTTTCTAAAGGCTGTCTCAATTTCCCTCTCCCTATGGTTGACGTTGACAAGATCGAAACGTTGCAGTCGTGGCACGTATTCATACTTCTTTATGGGATCAACCCACTCGTCAGAAGGGAACGCTTTCTTCTCGTTATGCGGTCTTCCAGTCAAGTTTGGAATGCGGTTCGCATTACGGATGCGATTCAACGCTTCGGTCTGATATTTTTGCTTAGCCCAGTGCAACTTTTCCGAAGCTAGGTTGTTTCCTAGAACATCATCAAACTTTGCCTCGTGCCGTGTCGCATGAGTCTTAGCAAAGCGCCTGTTCTCTGGTACAACGCCATCTCGAAAAAGGCCGTGGCACTGCAGGAAACTAGAGAGGAGTTTCCAATCTGCATGTCCGAGACGCACAAGGTGCACGATGTCTTGCACCTCTTGGAAGAACGAATCAGTCCATCGCAGTCGAACATCTGGATTGAGCTCCAATCCCATGGCCAGACCCCATGCTTTCAGGATCGTAAAGTATCCGCATTCGTTCGCAGATGGTTGGCGAGCCGTCTCTACCCACGTCGCGAACTTTGGCTTCATCTTCTCAAAGGCCTTCTTATCCGCGAAGACACCCCGCCACCAAGAAGAACCACGCAGAACCTGCCAGCCAATTTGGAACAATACCTGGCGGTCTTGTGCATTGTAATGGTAGGACAATGAATCCAAGAAGGAGATTGTCGGTCGGCCTTGTTCATCTAATTGGGCAAGGAGAAGAATAATATGGTTCTTAAAAGCGATCGGAGCGAGCAGTGGCCGACCAGGACGAAGAGCGTCGAGCATGATGTTTTCCACATCAGCCCCTTCTATAGCCTGGCATGTCTGCACGAACTGGCTTTGAACGATGCTGAATCCTTCTTCGATACTCTGCATCTTGTTGATGGCCATGGTGACGGCGCTCATGGCAAGTGCGACTTCCGCATCATCTAGCCACTCCCCCTTCTCTGTCGCTATTATATCTTTGCTTCGAAATTCTTCCAGCGCCTTCTTTACCTCTTCGTTTGCTAGTAGCTTACTCAGAGTTTCTCGCAGGGACTCGCACGGGCTGAGAGATTTACTCGGTGGGGCATACAGCTTTCGAATCTCATCGCGAGACAAAGTGCTGTCGAAAAGCCTATTGCGCTGCAATTCCGGAATCCTTATGTTTCGATCCTCTGTATCAAGACGGTCCCAACGGAATGAATCGTCGTGATTTTGGAGTGATCCGGTGAGAAACAGATCACACACATTGACAGCCTCCCCGGCAATCTCCCCCGCTTTTGCTACCATGAAATCTTCATACGCGTATTGCTCACTCTCCGGTATCGTTCTAGCAAATCTTCTTCCTGGCTCCGGTGCCTCTGTCGAAGCTACATACTCATGACAGCGCAGCAAAGCCCAGATAAGCAGCCAGTCGGCCTCACCGCGCAGCGCAGCCTGAATAACGTTATGTCCATCGCGGATGAACTCTGGGCTCGAAACGAAACCCTCGCTGTTCAAAGGCAAATTCAGCAAGATACTCCATGCGTTAAGAACAACATGATATCCGTCATGATGCTCGTGCGCCTGTTGCGGTGCAAAAAACCACTTAAGAGGCCCCATCATGGGTTTATGGTAGACGAGACGAGTACGTACATCATCTCTGGCTTCCTTACTTGTTAGCCAAGGTGCAGAGTCGATGACGGTGTGGGAATTCTTCTTGGGTCCGAGGTTTTGCGTCAGGATGCAGAGATTGTGGGTTTTGGTTGCCTCTCGCATGTATACCGAAATTAAGTCTCCACCTATGGTGAAGGAAGATTCGACCTCATTTAAGGAGGATTCGGTGGCGAAACCTGCCCCTGGAGGATGGCGTTGGTTGATGGCTCGGACGACAGATGCTATGCTATCTCGGGTGTCGCTCTTGCCCAACGGGGGTACCTCTGTTTCAAGTGCTTCTGACAGACCGTTCTGAGTGATCTGATTAGCATTGGCTAGCTTGTCCAGCTCTTCATGGAGATATTCGCAGGGGTTGAACTCAGCTGGTACGGGAAAGGTATCCAATTGAGGAGGCTGAGCAGGTGAATCTTCCAGCGACAAAAAAGTCTCGGTAGGCTCGTCAGACATTTCTGTGTCCTCGGGAAGGTGTTGGTTCGACTGCTTTGCCATATCTTGCAGTCTCCATCTTCCTTCACGCACAAGGGACATCAGCTCATTTAGTTGTTCGGTCGAGAGCGAATCTGACGAGGGTGTTTCGCTGTGAAAAATACCATCTTCGAGCTGCACGGGAGTCTGCTTCGTCTCTATGTTCTTTGCTGGGAACGTCTTGTCGGCTTTTGTCTGATCAGCAATCAGAGTGTCAAAAGGACGCTTCCGCAGATCAAAACGGCGATCCATAGCTGGCAGGTTAACATCTTCTTCTTCATCATCATCAACCTCTATCGTAACAGCTTGCTTCACGAATCCGGTGCAACGCAGGAATGACAGAAGCAGTTTCCAAGTCAATGCATTCTCCAAAGCAAGATGGAAAACTCCCTCTGCTTGAATGAAGAAAGCTTCGTTACCATAATGATTTGGCGTAAATGCTGGGTTGGGCTCTAAACCCATAGCTAAGGTCCACGCGTTCAAGATCGTATATGTGGAAGAAGCCTCGTGATTAGTGGCCTGCGCACAAGGTACCCACTCGGTATCCATGAGTAGATCCTCCGTGATTTGCTCGCTCGATTCGGATGTCAAAATCCAACGTCGCAAATTTTGATTGATATTATCGCGATGACTCCTTGAACTACGCCAGAACAGTGGGTAGAGGACGAGGACTCTGATTCTTTTATCGGGCTGTCGGATCTGGACTACGAGTAGGTGGCGACCAGACTGTTGGGTGAAGGCAGTAAGTAGTGTTCTTCCCGATCGGAAGAAGGTACTGTTATGGATGAAAGTGAACCCAGCATTTTCTGGCTGTCGGTGGTTGACGGAAGCGATCACCCTGGGGATAAGAGAAGCTACTTTATCTTGCAAATGTTGGTTGAGGTGTGTTTTAAGATAGTCAGACGCATTCTCGATTGATTGACCGTCGTCAGTGAATGCGTCGGAATATTCGACTTCTTCGGCTTCCTCAGACTCCTGCCGTAGTTGTTCATTTGCAAGAGCTTGGAACAGTTCAGACATGGATTCTGTGGCTTCTCCCTCATTCCCAACCTCATGCTGTAGTTGTTCATTCGCGAGATTTTGGAAAAACTCAGACATTGATTCGCTAGTCTCTGGTTCGTTCCCATGTTCTTGCGAAGTATGCTCTGGTGGCCCAATTGGAAGCCACCTGATTATCACATTCTCGCTAGCGACATCTCCGTTCCTGTCGCGACGCTCCATCTCGTCTTTTGCAGCTTTCCTAGTAGTCGCCTTATACTTCAAGCTGCCTTCATGTCGGAAGAAGAACAGTGGCTGCGAAAGCAGTTCAACAACGGCGAAGTCCTCAAGAGGACCAATGAAAAAGGGTGCAGGCGAAGAACTGCCCTGATTGGTGTATGTGGTACCATTGACGGTAATCGATGTCCCCAGGGGGACTTCGATAAAATGGCCCAGCCTCTGGTTCTCCGCGCCTGATGGTGCCCGTCGGATGAAATCGACGTGAGCAGTTTGATCATTGACGGTTCTAGTCTAGGTTAGCAGGGGACTACAAAATTTGACACGGCCTTACGTACACTTGCAGACGTCGTTCTTTGTCCAAGACGAATATTTCTTGGTTCTCTGCTCTGGATAGGACCACTGCAGCATTCCCATCCCCCTCTTCAAATTGTCCTGTGAGTGCGGCAAGGTCATGAAGTCCGTCTGGCTCCTTGGCGCTTAGTCTCTTTATCTCATTATAAAGGTCGCGCAATGCTGCACTCGATTGATTCGCATCCCCTGCAACCATGTCCTTCGCATCTTTCTGATAAATTGGCGTGCGTATTTGAGCCTCGGGCAAGCCTGCTTGCGTTGGTCGTAGCTCGTCCGGTTCTCTCGCGTACAAGGGCTGAGCGTAATCGTCCAAGTATTTTCGGTCAAAATCATTTTTCCGCTTCGCCTTGGGTATTGCCCAGTCTACCTGTATAGATGCACGGCTGACATCTTCCATTTCCTTCCTCAAGTCAGGACCCTTGGACACTGAGCCTTTCTTGTTTTTGCTTGCTTGGCGTTTGGGGGGCATATTGGATCGTGGACACTCTGAAATTTCTTGAATTCTAAAAAAAATCAGAGATGAGTGCCATAAGATGTCTCCTAATGAATAGTCATCGTGAGTGGTTTTTACAAAGGCCTTTGTTTGATATGTACACTTGTTTTCTGTTCTTTCAAAACTTCGCCTTTGTTAGCGCATAACAATACCGAATGCCGCATTTGTAGAGTTGTCGGGTGCCGACTGATTCTAAAGACAAAGAAACAACATAAAAACTAGAAGTGGTACTGGGGTCCGTTATACAATGTGTTGTATGCATCGACCTTGGATGCGTCAAACATGGATACAATCCTTTGATATAGAAATGTTACAAGATTGGATAAAACAACAAGTATTGAAAGCCGACAAGAGAATTCCGATGGGGAAACGAGTAGCTACAACCACCCAAAGGAATATTTGTCGGAATACTCGTGTTACAGATGGAGTGCTTTCCGGTTATCTTTTCATCGCAAAGGTAGAGGGTGCGTAGGGTGACCAGGATGATATGACAGCAGCAAGAGACTGCGCAAACAAAGAGACAAGGTGTTCCAATAGCTGAAATCATTCATTGTGCTTACTGACATATGAGCACTGTCTATAGAGATATCGTAATCTAATAAAAAGGTCGGCAAAAAAACTAATGACGCTGTTGACAAGGTATTCGCTCCATTGGGTATGTGGGGTATGTTTCAGTCTCCAAGGCGACATGGGTATTGAGGCACACTACGTGGATGTCTTCAGTTCAGGGCAGCGCCGGTCTGCAACCCTTCCTGTTGAACGCATCGTGTGTGTATGTGGTGAGGCGAAGCTGGATGTGCAGCGATTTGTATCAGCATGCACCTGAGCCATGGCTTGAGCGTGGCTGGCTTCGCGACTTCTTATTGAGGTTCATCCTCCGCGAGTCTTCTCTCTGTAGAGGTCGATTCGCTAGTAGTGACGTGGGGCCGATGTGTTTGAGCGGCCTGACTTGTCCAGTCACATGGCAGTGGGATGATGGGAGTAGCCATTCATCAGAAGTGCCGCATTGTTCATTTGGCCGTATTGGTCAGGATAGCGATATCCCATACCAGTGTCCAGCTCTGTCCCAGGGTCCGATCGCGCTGTGCTCACAATGTTGGCGGCTTCGACGCATGTGGAGCGGTTGTAGTAGTTGAATGGATCCGCCGGATAGCCAAAATCTCCCGAATGAGTCCAAGAGCTGTTGTATGGGCGGTTGTAGGGATAGTCGTAGGTGACGTCCTCTATCTTGATCTCGGTGCCAGGTGGAGTTGACGGTGCGGCATAGAACGTGGTGGAATAGGAAGAAGGAGGCGGGGTGCTCATAGCTGATACTATGGAGCCAGGGCTGGGTGAATCATCGTAACTGAAATCCGTGGATCGTGGAGGTAGGGAACTGATGGTTTGGACTGGCGGCGTGTGTCGAGGGATTAACATGGGCTTTGCGTGGGAAGCTATGTAGGTGGTTGTCGAGGCGGTTGGGTCTGGCTTGGTTTTCCCTTCGAGCATTGCACTCAGCCTCGATGCCGCAGGAATTTGCTTGCTGTGCTGGTCTGGAGTGTTTTCTAAGGCGGCTGACACTTCTTGCTCGGACATTCCTTGGTCGCGGAGGATAGCCTTGAGCTTGCGGTTCTCCTCGAGCACTGTCCTCGCAGCGCTCTGAATCTCTGATGAAGCCTCAATGCCAATCTGCTCATAGGTGCGCAGCTTTGTCTCGAGCTCTTGCAGGTATTCCTTACGACGAGCACGTGAGCGTCCTGGAACAAACAAGTGTTAGTGGAGATTCTGTGGGTATCTGACAGACGGAGCGCTGTGGGCAGTCTGATCAGACACGTGACTTCCGGTGAAGGAGGATAGACAAGTGGGCAACGTCGAACAAGGTGGCAGGACGGAATCTCAAGACAGCAAGTCTGTAGGAAGCCAGGAACGACTCACGTTGGTTGTCCCGAATACGAGCCAGATGCTGCGCTTTCTGCTGGCATTGGTCAGTGATTGGCCTACAGAGGGAGCAGTGGGGGAGAGTGCGTACTGATATCCTCGAGTCACTCATGTTGGGATTGGAGATGATGGAGCCGATGTTGTAGTAGTAGCGTAGAGATGGAGAGCAGATGGCGGCCTGATAGGTAGAGTTGTTTGCATGAGCATTCCGGGTAATATGGGGTCAGACTTGATGGCATGCAGTCTTAAAGTAGCATGCAGAAGTCCATGCCGGCGGCCAGTATGCAAAGCAAGGAGCAGGCATGACCCCGGCAGCGTCTGGGAGTGCATATGGGAACAGACCTCGCCGTCCAGCCATGTCTGCAAGCGTGGGGAGCCCAAGCGGGGGCCAGGGGGGGAGTAGTTTCGTTACATTACGAAGGCACAGGCAATGGGTATCGTCTTGATCACCAGGCGTAAGCCGGAAGCGGCTTAGCGCAGTGCGGCTGCCTTAGCGCCCCCTTTGCAGTCCGCCCTGACTCGAATCGGAGACGGAGCCTTTTTCAGCTTCGACTTCGGAAATTGGGCAAATTGAGTTTTCGCTGGTACCCTCGCGACACCACGTCGCAGCATCACCACCGTTCGAAACCCGCTCGCAGTCCATCGCAAACACCGTTGTTCGTTTCTTCCTGGCACTCACGCATCTCTTACCGGTGCATTCCGAGGATTGGGCAGCTATTGCGGCACGGGAACAGGGCACCCTTCCACCCCCCGTCATGGCTATTGGTCACCGAATAACTGCGCCCTACTCCGGCCATTTCGACCCCACGCGATTTGTTACGTCCTGGGCCCTGCCTCCCAGCCTTCTGTTTGGCTACCGCGTACTCCTGGCCCTGTATGCATTTACGACCTTGTTTACCATCTTTGGCTGGAACGCTACGCACGGCAGATCTGAGGAATCCCGGCAGTCTTTTTCCTATTTCACCGTCTTGACGTATTGGGGTCTTGCCTTCTATTATGCCTTCTCTGCAGTGCACACGGCAAGCTATTGGCTCACGGGCACGTCGTTCCTGGCGCGTTGGCCCAAGCCACTGCAGGTCGCCCACAGCATGTTCTACTCCACCATTGTTGTCTATCCATGGATCGTGACCAGTAAGTCAACCCCATCTTAGCGTTGCATGTCTTCAAGAACCTGACAATGTCAACCAGTTGTTTTCTGGGCTCTCCTTGCGGCTGATTTCCCCACCACGTTCTCCATCTGGTCCAATACGTCACAGCACGCTCTCAATTCGCTCTACGCATTTTGCGAAATCCTCTTTCCCAGTACTACTAGATTGCCCTGGCTGGACCTGGTGCCCGTTGTTCTCCTCTTGGCTTGTTACCTTGGCTTGGCTTACCTTACCCATGCCACGCAAGGCTTTTACGTATACCCCTTTCTCAACCTCCAGAAGAACTCCTCGGGTGTCGTTGCTGGCTACATCATGGGCATTCTTGTGGCGGCCATCATCATTTTCATCATTGTGCGGTACCTTATCGCCCTACGCCTCTGGGTCACTGAGACAAAACTTGGAATGAGAGGTAAAGCCTCCCCACGCGCCACAACCAGAGCGGCACATGGAGACATCCCACTATACGACACTGCAAAATAATTCGTTTCCGCGGATTCCCATCACGCCATCCTCAGCTTCGCATTCACAATTTGTTGTTTCTTTACTGTGCCTGATACGCCATGTATGAGAAATCACGAAACCCTTTACTGACGCTGCTTCCCAGCTGAGTTTCATAGTCACCCGGATTTCTATCGACGAAAACCATTAATTCCATGTCAATACACTGATTTCATTGCCAAGCAATCGAACGCCTCTGCAACCACAAGTTCTACGTACCCATTATACATGGGTCCCTGTCCATTGGTATTCATTACGTCCAGATCCTACCTCAGCCCCTCATGCCGTGTCACCATCCCACGTCCTATTTCCTCAGGAAAACACCTCAACTGTTTGTTTTTTCTAACCCATAGTACCTGAATGAGCACAGGTCCATTCGGACTCGGGTAGGTTCGGGAACATGTGCTCGTTCCAAGTGGGGGCTATTGGTTTGCGATAGACCGTCATCAAAGTCATAAAAGGGTTCTACCCCACCAAATTGACCCCAGAAGTGGATCACACGGGTAGCCGCCTATCAAAGTCGAGGTGGACGCAGCCGCAGTGACTGTTGAGCATTGACATAGTGGATGCTTCTCATCCAACAAATTGTCGCGCGTAAGTCCTGGATACCAATCAATTACACACGTGAGCGAGTGGCGTTCAATTGCCAAGCACATCAAGCCCGCCCACCAAGGCGGGTCAGTCAGTCAACCAAGTAGGGTTAAAATGAACGAGAACAAGCCTCTGTGCCAGTATTAACGCTACCCACTCTATAGTAGTAGAAGGGGACTTGAAGAGGAGCAGGGCGAGCTTCTAATTCGCTCTCGCGTGCTCCTATGCGCCTACATACGTAGCTACACCATGACAGCTGACAAGTATAGTACAGAATTCACGCGATAGTTACGCCGATTCGTTGACTAAGAGCGCGCAGAATGCATCTTGGCTCCAGTAACGGTGTCTGTTGAGACTTAACAATACCATCTCTCTGGGTCGCACGACCAGGGGCAACGTCAGCCACATTACAGTAACCTGAAGCAAATTACAAGGCTGAAGGCGCTCGCTGCTTTGTTCCAGGTACACGGGATTATTTTAAACTGCCGTCGCACGCGATGGCTCCTTGCACGCTATGCAGCGACTACTGAGGAGGTGCTACATACATCTGCCAAACTACAACAGCCACTGTCAGCCTTAGTTTAGCGCATCGCAAGTGGCTAACTTCTGGCTTATCTTTGCGTAGCTAGCAGCCCTGAGGACAGGAGTCATGAGGGGCTGATTCGCATACCCTTGCTGATTCTGGTGTAGCAGTGCACCACCATCCCGCACACGTTACAATGTCAGTCTACAATTGGGTCCCGGGTTTCTGACAGGGGCCCATTCAGCCCATCGGCATTATCAGCCCACACTTCCTTTTTTACGTTGGTACCAAGTTAGCGGTCCTGATGAGCCTGGGTTAGTCTGGCGATCATCAACGACGCCTTCGAATGGCGAAGCCATGTCATGTGCCCTCCTTACCATAGACACGGTGTTGTTGAAGCGTCATATAGTAGCCCAAAGATTTCTCACGTAAACTGCCCAGGTAAATGCCTGATTGCGAACATATGTGTCAGCAATGGATAACAGCCGTGCGCGTGATGCTCGCTAGGTTGTCCAGAAAAGTGTTTGTTTTCCGGCGGGCGGAAGTGCTCGGGATGAGGTCCTAACCGTAGAGGTCCTCCCAGCAGCGCGCACAAGCCAAGTTTTCTCGAAGCGATCCTCCAAGTACCCAACGCAATGGAGACGGACAGCAACCTAGCCTTCTCGAAACGTTGGAACCCTTGCTGATCATATACAAAGTTTGAACATGACTCCATCACTTACGCTACACGATCCTGCATATCAACGTGTAACTTGGACGGCAAAGCACCCTCCACACCACAAAGACAGCCGCGATCGTCGGTGGCTGCACCGGTGTAAAGTCGCATTTTGAGCAGGCTCCAGCATGGCACATGCCGAAACCATAAGGGCAAGTGCCGGAGCGTACCAGATCGCGCCGTTTTGCTTATAACGAATGAGGCGCACGTGGAGGCGACGGACAAGGCTGCCCAATCACGAATGCCCATCAATGCTCAATGTTTTGGAGATTCCAGGGCCCTGGACAATTTCTTACAGGTCTAACACACAGTGTGTTAAGTCATACCGAGTTGCCCGCCCTCCGTGCTGTTGCGAACCTCCCTTACGCAGTAGAACCAATCTAGTGGCCCTACGGGGCTCCTCCTCAGCCTTAGTACTGTCAGCGCACCGCTTTTTCGTTTCGCAAATTGCACCGCCGCTAACCATACCGTCCCGCAAGCAAAAGGGACGAATTCGCTAGTCCCAAATCACAAAGGGCATGTGAAGGACTTGTCGTCGCGTGGATCGAATTGAATGCGTCTGTCATCCGACCATGGCTACGGCTGTTCCATTTCTTACGAGTAAAGATGCCTGTTCCAGCCTCCCGTCCATCAAGACCCTTAAAATTGGTATTAAGCTCCAACATAGTCAAGCGAGCGTACGTTCCTAGATTCGCAGTCAGCAGTCAGCAGGGAGAGCGTGAATTCACGCAGCTCGTCCGCGCGCTTCGTCCAAGGGCTGGCGCGTTCATCCACCACGACTGCGGCAAACATGTATTTTTATTGAAATACCTCAAGTGAGGGCTGCGCTAGCAGATCCTACGCAGGTCGGCTATATGCGTAGGGCTAGAAGCGTGGGATTTACCGATGACGACGGCGATGATGCGGTGTGTGGCTTGATTGCAAAAGTAAAAGTCTCGACTGCCGCGGTGATCAACGAACCCACGCAAGGTGCTTCACACGTGAATGACGACTATTTGCTAACGTGCGTATGCTAACTAGTAGTCTGTACACATGCATCCAAAAGGGTCGGGCATGGGATGGGAGGAACGGTCCGATTGTTTCACCTCGCTTGCAGCACTGCATATGTACATATTCCCATTGGGAAAAGGAAATTGTGCAACCACAGCAATCACTGACCAATATTATCAGCTATTCCAAGCCCTGCGGCCCCCAAGACGAACAGCCATTCCTGAGCATTGCGCGCGCAGGGCTGGCATCTCGGAAGTGTGATTAGCCGAGGCATTTGGGCAGATTGGTAGCGAATTTCCATCACAAGGCAGTTCGTTCGTGCGCTTGACAGCAAACACTGCTCAATACTAAGATCATCGCCGCTGTCAGGGAACCGCGCGGGAAAGAAAGAACCCGAGACTATGATAGAGGTCGTCTATATCGTCCGGCATGCGGTAAGTATAAAGTTTGCTATCGCTCTACTGTGTAAGAAGCCGTCCTGGGTTCATCGTTGCGTCAAATGCGCCACGGGCCATGTTAGATGAGTTTTGATTTCCCTAGGCCTTTTTCACCCGTTCCATTCCTCCCTGCGTTACTACCCTTTCTCATCGCGCGTCCCTTTCAACTTTGTCATGTGTCATACGGAGTAGCCCTTCCGCTAAATGAGCCGCCCCCGTCAAACCCTGGGGTCACGATCTCTCCGCACTCCGATCTGCTGACCGTCATCATCGAAGACGTATTCTGACAGTGTGTTTGTCATGTCTAGTTTCGGGCAAATTGGTCGGTGGACCCTCAAACAGGCGTCTACACCGCGTCAATGGCACGCACACCAACCGGTATACCGACCGACCCGCCACTGACGGCCAAAGGCGTGCAGCAGAGTAAGGAGCTGGCGAATTATCTCGCCCAAGTAGAGCCTCCGGTGGACAGGATCTACTCTAGCCCGTTTTATCGCTGTTTGCAGACACTGAAGCCATTCAGCGACGCGTACTTCAATGAGGGGAAAGAGACCAGGGGTAAAATTAGGGTCGACCGTGGGATAGGGTAAGTACGGGCCGACAGTAGATCTTCTGGCGAAAAAAAAGACGACAAGTGTGTGAGCACCAAAAAGAGGTTACGGTAACTAATACGTTATGTCTGTGCACAGGGAGTTCTTTGGACGCGCCCATTTTGAACACCCAGAGCCTCCCAGTCTCGGGCTCCTAACTCCGCACTTTGGCAACTTGGATGCTGACTATGTTTCCGTGCACATGGCCGGGCCCAGGGGTGAGTCGATTGTGGAGCTTCACCAACGTGTGAGAAAGGCGCTAGAGCATATTGTTACGACTCTTGATAGTGATCCGGAACAGCCAAAAAGTGTGCTGCTTTGCACTCATGCGGCTACTATGATTGCTGCTGGTAGGGTGCTGACAGGTCAGATGCCGGGGAATCCCGACGAAGACGACTTCAAGTGCTATACGGCTGGCCTGTCCAGATTCGTTCGGAGGTCGGCAGACCCCGAAAAGGGCATCGCTGGGAACTGGGAGTGTGAACTCAACTCTGAGACATCTTTCTTGTCTGGTGGTGCCGAACGAGGTTGGTAAGTGTGACTTGTTCTTTCTTCTTCTTATCTCTTGGAATTCCTTGGGATTTACGTCGTGTGATCATTGCTCATGTGATTCTGGCTGTTTCTCCGCACGCAAAGTTGTTGGTGGTGTTCGGGGATTGGACATTCACTGGGTTGAAGTTTATATGACGTATTTCCTGCGATAACCGTTTGGATAAACGTCTTACCAAATCACTATGGGTTGTGTCTTTGCTGACTGTTTCTGGCGTCATTTAGGCATTTCGACGGCGAAGAAAGTTTTGTCGATTTCTCGGATACGGGTATGAATGGCGAGAGCGAGTCGAAATTGTGAAGTTTTTAGCGATTGAGAAAACTCTATCTTGGCCAATATTCAATATTTTTTTATCGAGAAGACAGTAGAATATGCAATCGGAAAACACAAGACAGTTCAAACTATCGAATATCTAACAACCTATCCACACAACCATCTCAATACCTCACAGAAATGGAAACCCATGAAAATCTCCTATCCCTCAACCCCCCCCCCTCCTCCTCATCCCACCTAATCTCCACACCCAACTCCCACAGGATCTTCAATCCCAATACAATACTCTTTACCCTGTCTATTCCCACCCGCCCCTGCCCCTCCTTCCCTCCTTCCACACCCACTCACCTACCCAACCCACGCCCACGCACTCCCAGAAGCCTCACTTTCCCCCAAAATCACCCTAAACCTCCCACTAACACATGCAACTAGCCCAACCCCTACTGCAGCTCGCGTTCGGACCCTCGGAACCCGAGTGTTCGGGTTTCGTCGCTGGCAGGGCGGTAGGACGGCAGGCGCAAGGTGGGTGTGGGCGTGAGTGGAGACCCCCACACTGTTTGATTGATAAGTCGGTGGCGAAGGAGGAGCGGGTGGGCGTGGGATGGATGGGGGTGGGTGCGGAATTAGGTCCGCGGATTGGGTAGGTGGTTGGTGGTGGGTTTGGATGGATGGATGAAGGGGAATATTTGCGTAAGGGAGTGGTGGAGGGTGGGCTGAAGGGGGATGGTTAGGGTGGAGGGAAATAGGAGGGAGGGATTTTAATGGGGTTGGGGTTGGGGTTCGATGTTGGTCGGGTTGATTTTTTGATATTTGTTGGTATTGTATTTTCGTCTTTTAGAGGCAATTGGTATATCCTTTTCTGTCTGATTATACTTTGAGGTTATCTCAGGCAGTGCCGCATTGGCTCCTTCGTCATGCTTGTCGATTTTGCATGTAGTCATCTACGTGCTAAAAGACCGCATGAAACAAGACCCAAGTGGCCAAGCAGCAGCGCATGAGACTTGACGTTGTTTTGATCGTTTTGACGGCGAGTCAATGCCGATGCTCGTATACCACATCTCACGTGTTTCTCCAACACATCGTGCATGTTTCTTAATACGACTCGGTTCGTATAACTCTGTGCACCAAACACTCGTGGCGCTCACAATCCAACACAGCATACTGGCGATCCCTCAACCCTTTTTTTCTTTCCCGGTTTCCGCTTCTGTGACTGTCTCGCCATCCGCGTCAAGATGCATGCTCTCTGCAAATCCCACCCATTCTTTTAATCCCTTGACAAACATGTCCTGTCCAGAGTCCACCTCCCCTCCATGTCCCCAAACTACGACCTCGTCAAATTCCCCCACTTGTTCTGCAATCTTGACTTCTACAGGTATGCTCTCTTCTTCTTTGTCCTCCATCGTCTCGTCACCATCTGACTGCGCCGGTTGTCTCGACTGCGGCAATTGCTTTTCGGTAACTGCGAGGATGGTGCCGGTGTAGTTTTCTGGGAGAGGGACTACAGTACCATGGAGGTGGCGACCCCGAAAGTGGGCGTGCTGGGTGCCTTTATCGTCTGTGGATGGCTTCCAGTATTGTGGTGTCGAAGGAATAGGACCATTGTGGTTTATGCGTGCGGGGAGAAGGTTTGGAGTGCACTTCTGGGGCTTAGAGGGTTGTATGGCGAGCATTTTCGACAATGTTATAGTGTTATCTGTTTATGGATGTTTATTTCACTGATCGACTGTATGGTTGTGGTGAAGTTGGCAACATGTGAAGCGTAGCCGCGGAAGACGCGTTGACGCGCCGTCGCCGTGTGTAAGCGTGTCCGCGGGCGCACGGACCAAAAGTGCATGCTGTACAGCTCATGATGACGATGCTGTAATCTAGTAAACCAAGCTACAGATGCACAAAATAAACTGGTTTCCTTGTTTATCTCTTCTTCTCCTTCTTTTATTTCCTCTTCACTACGTTTGGCCCGCCGCCAGGTTCAACATGTTGGTGATATGCGCACCTCCTCGCCCTTGACTCAGTCCCGGAACAACAATACGGATCCTACAACAAGCGGGACGCGAGGCTCCCGTTTCTGTCGATTACCAACTTTCCAGGGTAGACCTTCGGCCCTACCTAGTAATTGCAACCTGCGACCATGGAGTGTTTGCGAGTCCGCACAATCTGCCGGCGTCGATTCTCTCCCAGTTTCTGATCGCAAGGCCCCCAATAGCCCGAGACGCTAAGATGTATGCTCTTACATAACTTACCCCTCATCCAGCCTCGGAACATATGCTTATCGAGCTCTAAACTGCGGCTCTGCGTTACACGATAACCTTTTCGTTTCAGTACCTCACGACTATGGCAATATCCATGGCAATCCAGGAACAGAATTCCATGCGACTTTGCAAATCTGCCATGAGCCTTGTACCCTGTTCCACGTGTAGCTGGCTCGGACATGCACCACTTACGCACGATATTTAGGCGGATAGACGGCGTCATTGATCACTCAAAGTGGCAAGGTTCACCGGCTGCATCACATTTCCCATAGTCTCCACCAGGTGCATAGCTTCGAAACGGCGTAAACAAATGTTCCGGTTCGGCTTTCGGCCAGTCCGGCCTGGGGACGGCAAGCTACCTGGAGCTCTGAAATAGATTTGTATGCCCTGCGTTAGACTTGAGCAGCTTCTGTTGTTCATGTTCCTCGTACCGTCTCCTTCTCTGCGTCTTTACGATACCATTGTAGCGTTGCTTTTCGGCCTTTTCATATACTAGTCGCAACTCGATTGGCTATCATTTGAGCGACAACGTGACCCCGCACGCTCATCACCAACGCACCACAGCGGGGCCTGTATATTGATCAGGCGCTTAAAGGAACCAATCGTCGTATTCTTCACATTAGACGCACCGTTAAGTATTTGAACCTGCAGGTGCCATTGGAACCTTTTTGCGCGGCAAAATAATCTGGAAAGATGGCGATATACAGTTCGGTGACAGGAGCGGTGTCTTCAATCCTAAGTCCGGTCACATCGCAAGGTTGGGGACCATTGGTCAGCCTGTGCAAAAATGGAACCCTTTCACAATTCCAGAATCTGAAGCATGGTAAGCTGGTGGTATTCGAAGGCGGCTCCAGCAAATCCTCGGTAGCGTTTGGTTCGGACAAGGAGGGCCTGCCAATTGCTTTCCTGGATGTACGCGACGAGAAGTTTTGGGTGCGAATTGCGCTTTTTGCAGACATGGTACGCATCTCAACGGACTTTGGAGGGGTCAATCGACCGAATGCTTACAAAAAGGAAACAGGGCTTCGCAGAGAGCTACATGCTGGGTGAGGTCTCAACACCGGATCTGACCAAGTTCTTCGAGGTGAGCTTTTGAAGCTGAGGATTCATCGATTTGCAGAGGAACTTACGTGTACAGCTCTTCATCCTAAACCGCAACTACCTCTCCAACGGTTCCACTTTCACCTCTGCAATCTCCAGTGGCCTTGCTGGTCTATTGAGAGGCAGCAACAACCTCAGAAATGCTCGCCTTAACATCTCCGCACACTACGATATTTCGAACGAGATGTTCGCTGCATTCCTCTCGCAAGACATGACCTATTCGTGCCCGATATGGCTTCCGAAATCGAACCCACTCTCGGCGAACGAAACCCTCTACGAGGCGCAAATGCGAAAGCTCGACCGCTTCATCGATAACACACACATCAAGGGCACAGATCACGTTTTGGAGATTGGTACAGGATGGGGAAGCTTTGCCATGCGGGCTGTCGAGCGGACAGGCTGCAGGGTAACTTCTCTCACTCTTTCCATTGAGCAAAAAGAGCTGGCAGAAGAGCGCATAAGAGCAGCAGGAATGTCTGACAAGATCTCGGTACTTCTGTGCGACTACCGCAGTCTGCAAGTCCCAGAAACAGGCCCCTTTGACAAGGTCGTGTCAATTGAGATGCTGGAGGCTGTCGGCAAAGAATACCTTGTCACGTACTTCAAGTGCATAGACAAGTTACTCAAGAAGGAAGGAGGCATCGCCTGCTTCCAATGCATTACCATGCCCGACGCCAGATACGAAGCCTATGCCAAATCAGACGACTTCATCCGCCGCTACATTTTCCCTGGTGGCCATCTTCCCGCGGTCTCAGAGCTCGTAGCATCCATCAACACGGGATCAGAGGGCTCTCTTATCGTCGACAGCATCGAAAACATTGGTCCTCACTACGCCAAGGCGCTGCGACTCTGGCGCGAAAAGTTCCTGGACTCTTGGGAGTCCACCATCAAGCCGCAGCTCATCAAAGAAAAGAGCAGCGAGGGTATGGACGACGAGGGCGCCGAGATCTTCAAGCGCAAATGGGACTACTACTTTAGATACTCCGAGGCCGGCTTCTCCACCCGCACACTCGGAGATGTCATCATCACTGTCAGCCGCGAAGGCGCTATGCAAATGATGGAAGAGGTGCCATTGTGAAGATAATTGTAGCGGCAAAAAGCTACATTCGATTCGGTTTGTTATACTGTACATGGGAGAATATAGGTGTATATACCCTTTCGTGCTATGAATTAATCGCATTATACGTTTATTTCCTTTCCACCTCTGTGTGAGCAAAATTGCTTTTTCTTTCACACCGTCCCGTATCCGTGATCAAACTCCGGTAACTCAGCCTGATACTCCATGGCCAATATACTCGAATCCAACAATTCCTCCACCGACGCTCGTGCATTCTTTTCCCTGTTACAGTCTTGATTCGCACACCGCGCTTCTCCTTCTTCTTCTCCTCTCCCCTTCTCACCATCCTCCGTCGTACACGTATTCATACTCCGCGTCCCCACCGCCAACGGCGGCGGCCGGTACGCCTTGTATACCGCCAGTGGCGCGGGCGTAAGCGGCGGCGACGCTAGGCCCGTTACGTCGCCGTCCCACAACATTCCCTGTCCTGCCTGCTCCGCTTCTTCCTCGTCTTCCGGTGGTGTGTACGGTCTTTGCGTACTAACATAACCTGGGACTAAGCTTGCTGGTAAAGTGTTTCGCTTGATTGAAGGAGGGGATGCGGTTTGAATGTTTATGCAGAGGGATTGTGGGAGTGTGGCGCGGGGCGTCATGGCGGATTCGATGTCTGCGGTTAGAGAGGTGATGATGTCTTCGTCTTCTTCTTCGTTGTCGTCGTTTTCGTTTTCGTTTGGGGAGGAGGTGCGGGGTGGGAGAGAGTCGAGTTCGTAGACTTTATTCAACGGGGAATCGGTTTTATGTGAGGATGTTGGGGGAGATGGTAAGGCGGAAGTTGGGGGTGGAGAGGAAGGTTGATAGAGGCCGTTTGGACCGACTACTTGGAGTCTTTTTTGTTTTTGTTCTGTGTGTTCTTCGTGGGGTGAGGTGGGTGCTTGGGGGTCTTTGAGTTGGATTGGGGTTGCGGACATTTCAAAGGCTGCTGTGTAGCGTTTAGGATGTTTTTGAGGCAAGGAAATAAAGTTAGAAGTTTGTGTTCGGTTGGGGACATATGATTCTCGTGATCCTGCGTATTGGGCGCCGGATCTTGTTAGAGAACGTCTGGTTTGGATGCTTGGAAGAGAATTGGGCATCGAGGAGATCTGAGTATTTGATTTGGATGGCTGAGCTGGGAGAGGCGGAATACTTTGCATTGGCGCTGAAGTTTTTCGGTATGTATATGAGGCCCCGGCTGATTCATTAGGTATTTTGAGACTCAGTTGCGAGCCGCTGGCCACGCGCCTAGTGTTGATAGTACTGATAGGCCGATATCTTGATCTTGAATCTCCAACTGGCGGTGTAGCTTCTTGCGATCTCGTGGAGTTCAGAGAGGGATTTCCAGAAGAAGACCCAATATTCAGGGTGTGTCTCAGCAAAGGTCTCTCCTTTTCCATCTGCCGAAGGCCTTGGGAAATGTTTGGCGACGAGTTATCAGAGATAGCCTGGGTGTTTGGTATATCCACTGTAGAACGCGATCGTGAAGAGCCACTTTGAGGTAGTGAGAAATTCGTTGCAGTGGTAGCCGGTGGTGCTTGTCCGGTCAGTATTTGATAGCATCTGCGCTGTTGATCACAAGATAAGCCCGCTAAGAAAGGTGTGTTGAGAAAGTTTTGGTATGCCGCTTTCTGGTGCAACTGACTTCGAACGGATTGAACCTGGCCTCCGTAACGTTCGCACAAAAGCAGCAGGTTCTCCATAGGGCTCCAGCTCAAGTCGCGCAGTTTGCAAAACTCAATGAGTGATTTGACCAAGTACAACATGTTTAGGCCTTTGAAAGTCCTAAGCATGCCTGCAGTATTGTTGCCCAACAGGACTATATTGTCTTTGAGAGTGCCGCTGGGAGGTGTACCGTATAAACCTCAAAAATGGTTAGTTTGAAGCTGCATTTGGCTAACAATTGAACCTACCTGATGGTAGCAGGTATACTTCGACTACTGCAGAGCTTGTACATCCTGTATCGTGGTATGCAGGCCCTGTTTGCACCAATATCTTCGATGGAGTCAACGGGTTCATGCCATCGGTCAATACAATACTATCATCGTCAGTGGATTTGTTGCAAGACAATTCACTCGAACATACCGTCGATCTGCCTCGAGCTTTTTCTTGATACGATTGGAGTCTTTGTGCTCATATGCAAAGTATAGGTCGGATACTGGGCGCCCACTCCCTAGGCAAAACATCTCGAATGCCCCCATGATACTGTAGGCAAGCTTCTTGTTCTCAAAGACTTGACGGACATGGCTCGCCGCTGCTACAACGTTCGTGTGAGGTGGCATTTTGTTTCCTCCTTGCTGGGGCTTGTTCTGGGAAGACTTTTCTATGGTAGAGTGCCCGGCGATGCTGGTCATGATACGCATAGTAGTAGAATTGGGTGCTCGGCGCTAGCGATTAGATAACCATGGATCAGAGCTAGCTGAGCGGACAAGGCGAGGAAGTGGCAAGAAGTGACGGTTAAGCATACGGGTCCACCAAGCACTAGTATGATAGCAAGGTGGGATGATGTGTTGTTTGCGTGGCAGAGCGGTGCTTATACCATGACAATCCCGTTACCCTGGCGCGCAGGTGGATGAGCTCTCGTAAGCATGCGCGAAGGGTATGGCCGAGCGGGGCCCTCCTATCCGTCCTTGAAAAAGGTTATATCCACAATGCTGATGACGCACCCTTGCCATACGCCAGGGCATGTCAGTTGAACGGTAGCAGCGTAGCCGTGGAAGGCTGAGCTGCACAGCTGAAAGCCACTCGGGCGGCTTAATGGGATCCGGTCTCATGAGGAACATGCAAGTTGTTTCGCATTACCAGTAACAAGTCACAAGGCTAGTGATTGCTTGCTGCTGTGATTTTCGTGGATTCTCGTCATCGAGGCTGAGTGGTTTATATTTAGCAACGGGTGGGTCGGCCAATTGTGGCTACCCAACGGATCCGCACTGCTCGTATAGGGAGTCTGAGACGCAGACGGAACCCAGCCTATAACGGGTAACACGGAAGGCATGTGTTCTCGCTGCTATAAAAAGGTGTTTCGCCCTGTGCGCAGTAGAGGTTTACGAGACCTTTCGTCCGACTAGGCACTCACGTGACATCAAACTAGATGTTTCAGCAAGCGATAGCCTCAGTGCAGTGTTTTGTTAACAATATCGAATTTCTCGCTACACGATATCGCTATTCGAGTCGCCTGCATGCGTCGGGATAATATGCGATGCTGCAGACGCAACTTTGATAAGGGAACGAAATGAGCCGAGATTGGGTACGCCACCGAAAAAGAAACGCCAGACAGCAGGGCTTCTGCTATTGAGATGTAACAAAGTGTATTCTGTGCTCAAATACCACCACCTTTGTCCCGCAGTCAGCACTGGAGGGTGTCTATCAGCGTGTGACGGGACCTACCGGATCGGTCAACGGAGACCGCAAAGTCACGACTGCTGCGAACCGTCTGTTTTTCTGCAAGAGTACGTGACCTGAGGGTGAAGTAGCCGCCTCCCAGGGAGATGATAGACAGCACCGCCATGCTGCGGGGTCTAGAAAGAGTGGCGGTGTCAGCTATGAAGTCGGTGGGAAAGGGAGCTGAGCTGGATAGCCCAATCGAGTGACTTACGTGAGAAGCCTGGAGTAAGTCATTGTGATGTTTCGAGTGAGTATTCAGCTAGTGTTGGTGTAGTGGATGAGAGCAAAGGATGAAGGCTGGCTTCAACGAGGAAAATGGTTGAGGAGCGGTCGGTTCCAAGCGGTTCCGTCGTGTGATGCATTTCCCCTCTTAGTCTAACCTGTATGATGGTGACGCAGCTTCCCCAGATCAGCATCTGGACCCCGGCTACGCTTGGACCCCCGAGGTGGTATCCAATCAGCATCCATTGAAGCCGACGCGCTACCGCCTGGCAGAAAAAGTTCGGCAGCTTCCAGATGCGCGTCGCATTTACATTTACCGACTGCAATCACACACAAGAACTGCGCAATGCCTCTCCCTAAGCGACAGACATTGCCAAAGAAGGCTGAAAAGACCGAAAGGTCTGAAAAGGCCAGTGTGCCTGACAGTAAGCGATGCGGCGCCGTCTCGCACAATACTGGATAGCCCACTTACAATTCACAGGCGACTCGCGATTTGCAAATTTCCAGACCGACCCCAAGTTTCGACTGCCCTCCAAGAAGCACACCAAGACTAAGCTTGACCCCCGATTTGCGCGCATAAAGAGCGACCCGGACTTTTACAACAAGGCCAAGGTCGACAAGTATGGTCGCAAGATATCAGAAGATGCGGGCAAGAAGGTCGTGGAGAGGTTGTACGAGATAGACAGCGATGGTGACGACGACGACGACGACCGAGACGACGAGCCCGAACACTCTGCTGGTAAGAAGCGGGATCAGGCTGTTCTCAAGGAAATGAAGCGGGTTGAGCAGCAAGGCTTTGACCCAATTCGAGACGGTGGGCTTGAATCGTCGTCAGACGAAAGCTCTAGCGACGAAGAGGAAGAAGCGGATATCTACGAGCAGGCTGATCTTGCTGGTGAAGGCAACGAGGTTCCGACTGGTGACATCTCTGCACGTCTGGCTGCGGTCAATATGGACTGGGACAACATTCGCGCTATCGATATTATGGCTGTCGCAAATTCTTTCGTTCCGGCTGACGGAAGGATTCTCAATGTCGTCATATACCCCAGCGAGTTTGGTATGGAGCGTCTGCAGCGAGAAGAAATTGAAGGCCCGCCCCGAGAGATTTTCGCCTCGACTGCAAACAAGGATAAAGACAATATCGGCATTTCTGACAATGATTCTGATGCCTCGGGCTCTGATGGCGAGGGTCAGTCAAAAGCTGTCTTGCAAGAAGAAGAAACTGGCGAAGAGTTTGATTCGACTAAGCTGCGAGCCTACCAACTCGACCGACTACGATACTACTACGCCATCATCACATGCTCTTCTGCCAACGTTGCAAAGTCCATCTACGATAATCTCGACGGCAGGGAGTACCTGACAAGCGCAAACTTCTTCGACCTACGATTCGTTCCCGACGGCACCACTTTCGATCAAGATCCCCACGATGAATGCTTCAAGCTGCCCGATGGCTACAAGCCGAACGAGTTTTCAACGGACGCGCTTACTCACTCAAAGGTCAAGCTGACCTGGGATGCTGACGACGCCACGAGGAAAGAAGTACAGAAACGCGCCTTCTCACGCAAGGAAATCGACGAGAATGAACTGCAAGCGTATTTGGGCACGGACTCCTCGTCATCTGAAGATGAAGAGGAGGCTGCAAAGGCAGACAAGGCAGCAAGTCTCAGAGCAGCATTAGGCCTTGAGGCACCTGGGAAGACCTCCAAATCGAAGAAGAAGACTTCCGCAAAGAATGACCGCGATTTTCCAAAGCCGGACAGCGAGATGCAAATCACTTTCACTGGAGGCTTGTCTAAGGAGAGCGGTAGTGGTGGTGTGTTTGAGAATGATATTCCTGTACAAGAGACGACGATGGAGAAGTACATACGGAAGGAGAGGGAGAGAAAAGCGAAGCGCAAAGAGAGGTGGGCTGCTAGGAAAGCTGGCAGAGATCCCGACGCTCCTGCTGAGCAGGAAGCCACCAAGTCAGCGGATGCGAATGACGATGATCCATTCAATGATCCATTCTTTGCCTCTGATCCCGAAGAAGCCGCTAAAGCTTCAAAGCAGGAGGCTAAGAAAGCTAAGAAAGCTAAGAAGGCAGAGCAGGAGCTTCAAGACCAGACAGCTGCAGCAGAACGTGCGAACCTGGAGCTGCTCATGGCTGATGAGGACGATTCCAAGATGCGCCACTTTGACATGAACGAGATTGTCAAGTCAGAGAAGGCTAAGAAGAAGGGAAAGAAGGCCAAGAAGAATGCTCCATTGGTGGAAGACAACTTCAAAATCAATACTACCGATCCACGTTTCGCGAAGTTGTACGAGAGTCATGAGTTTGCTATTGACCCCACGAATCCTCGATTCAAGGAGACTGCAGGTATGAAGGCGTTGTTAGAAGAGGGCCGGAAGAAACGAAAGCAAGGAAAGGACGAAGACGAGCCAGAAGCGGAACGGGGTAGTAAAAAGTCAAAGCAAGATGCGGCGGGTGGAGAGGAGGACATCAAGAAGCTAGCTGCCCGTGTCAAAGCAAAGAGCAAGCAGAAGTAAAGGTGTAGACTAGAGTTGCATTTGATACCCGAAAAGTCCGTTTGGATGTTCCTGAACAATACATATTTTATGACTGGATTTTGAGTGTGTATTGGTATAGGGATAGATGACTTCCTATGTATGTGGTGCCTTCTGCCTCCGCTGCTCTTGCCACATAACACGCCCCATGGCCAACCCACTTTCTCAGGTCCCTTGCCAGTCACTCGAATAACCTCACTCGACACCATCTCCCCCCTGCCCAGAGATCCGCTACCTGTATCTTTTCCTATGACCCCCTCGCCTCTCTCATCTTAATTTCTCCAAGTCCCTCTCGAAAGCACACATGATGCACTTTCCAGAGCTATATTCGAGTTCCGGATCACAACCAGTTACTTTTTTCAGTTCCACGAGTACATTCCCAGCATTTGATCTCGCAGTCACATATCATGGCACCACCTTGGGTCACTTTTGATACCACTGAGTCTTTCGGAGGAGATTGTGGCAATGGAGCTGAACCTGATATCGCTGGCATTAGTGTAAGTCGATATTCTCTGCTTTCTATGCTCCAGCTTACCGAATATATTACAGGTTGTCATCTCTTTTGTCATTGCGAGCTTCATGACTACGCTTGCCTCTATTCTTGCTATGCTTCTCGACCAAGCTTTCGATACCAAAGGCCATTTTACTCTCCGCGCACCACTAAGATTTCTTCGCGAAAATTCCTTAGAACGCGAATGGAAGAAGCATTATGCATGGCGTCCTTTCCCGGACCCGCTCATCATAGGCCTGGGTGATCAGCAGCTCATCACAGGATACGCTGTATTACTCAGCGGATGGATAAAGGTATGTTCTTACTCCCCTCTAGAACTTCTACATTAATGAAAATGCTCTAGGTATCTGGGAAGGCCTTCAAAGTCCAAGGCGCCCATTTTGTCTTAATCCTATACATATGCGCTCTATCGTCATCCTCTCACCTCGCTGCCCTCATAACACTACGAAAGTATTTTCAAAGATACAGATTCATTGCAAAGATCCGACTCATACTCATCATCTGCTTCGCAATTTTTCTTATGGCCTCCATGATGGCTGCTATTGCCCTCTCACCAACAATGGTTGTGACTAGCCACGGCGTCAAGCTAGTCAAAACCCGGGTTCAGCGTTTATCGTTACTGGTACCTTTTTTTCTCATAATCATTGGCTTCTCAACAGCACTAGTATGTATCCTGTACAACCCAGAAGGACTTGAAGTTGAGTCACCACTATCTTCCTCAGAAAGCTCTTTCCAAGCTCTCGTACGTCGCGTTACGGATAGGGAGCTATACACGAAGAACTTCGTGTTCCGAACACTCTTTCCAGCTCGATTCGGCATACAGCTCATGTACTACATCTTCCTCAACCCAGCCATCGCGTTTGTAGTCCAGATATTGTTGGCCATCCTTTCCGCAATCTTAGTTTTGACCCAGAAATTTGCTGCTCCTGAGGATTCGGCAAGGTTTTGTGGTTTACACGATAATGAAGAAAACACATGGGGCTTTGGGCAGACGTTGAGTGTGACTATGCTTCTATTGCCGGCCATTGCAGCACTTCAGACATACTTGGAAGCAAGACAAGATATCAGCGAGGGGTTCAGGATTACAAACGTCTGACATAATGTGAAGGGCCGTCTCCGATTGGTAGAGGACCTATTTCATTGACCGTACACAAAAACTATTCAACCAAATCTCTACAGTCTTGCTTTCTCTTCGTCTTTCTCCTTTTTCTCGAGGAACCTGGCAGCATACTCAATAGCCGCCTCATATCCATATACACCTAGCCCACAGATCACCGCCTCAGCTTTATCACTCAGGTAGCTGTGATGTCGGAAAGCTTCTCTTTTGTGAACGTTACTGATATGAATCTCCACAAACGGTATGTCCACACCGCCCAAAGCATCCCGCAGCGCCACGCTCGTGTGTGTGAAAGCTCCAGGGTTGATCACGATAAAGTCGACATTGCCACGCGCTTCATGTATACGGTCTATCAACACACCTTCATGGTTTGATTGAGAATGTGAAAATTGTATAGAGAGCTTGGCACATTGTTCTGTGGCGGAGGAGATTACGTCTGAGAGGGTGGTAGATCCATAGATTGCAGGTTCGCGCGTGCCGAGAAGATTGAGATTTGGACCGTTGATTAGGAGGATGGATTTTGTCTTTGACATGTTTGCAGATGTGTTTTCTGGGTGTTGCACTCAAGCGCTTTGAGTACTGTCAAGTGAAAAGGTTGTCGAAGACGCGTGCGTCGAGCATCTTAGTGTCGGTCTCCACAACGCTCATTCCGAGGTTTGGATCGATGTTGGAATCGGAAAAGGACTTACCCATAGGCCTCCGATCGGCCTTCTTTCCCCAACTCCCAAACCAGGACACATGACGCCCCAATGCATAGGTATCTGTGGGCCTTTCCACCGTTATTAGCCGGTACGGCTTCAGACGGTAGGAAATTAGCGGCGCAATGGGTTCCAACGTATGCGGATCATCGCAGCACGATACCTTTTCGTCTTCTAAGAGTAGCTCTTTCACATACACAATCGCACAATGGCCATGGCTGAGCTCTCGAGAGAAGAGCTAGATGAGATCTATGCGTTCGCGGTGGATCTGGGGAAGAAGGCGGGGAAGATGCTTATGGACGCCGCCCAAGCAAGAATGAACAGCGAGAGCGCAACAACAGAAGAGAAACAACACGTACAAAAAGAGAACGCAGTAGATCTAGTAACTGAAACCGACGAAAACGTCGAAGCCTTCATCAAAACGAAAATCCAAGAAAAATATCCCTCCCACAAGTACATTCGCCCCCCACCTCTCCCCCCCAGTCCACCTAACAACCCCCCAGATTCATCGGCGAAGAAACCTACTCCAAAAACTCCTCGCGGAACTACCTAATCGACGCCTCCCCAACATGGTGCGTCGACCCGCTCGACGGCACCGTAAACTACATCCACCTCTTCCCAACCTTCTGCACCAGCATCGGCTTCATCCACAATCACAAGCCCCTCATCGGCGTCATCTGCGCCCCCTTCACCAACCAACTCTTCACGTCCTGCGCAGGTCGCGGCGCCTTCCTAAACGAAACCCAGCGCCTCCCGCTGATTCAGAAGCCCAGCATACCGCCCATGCCCGCCAATGCGCCCGCAGGCTGCGTCTTTGCGTGCGAGTGGGGCAAGGATAGACGCGATATCCCCGACGGGAATATGCATCGGAAAATTGAAAGTTTTCTTAATATGGCGGCGGAGATTGGGGGCAGAGGGGGAAAGGGGGGGATGGTGCATGGAGTCAGGAGTCTGGGGAGTGCGACGCTGGATTTGGCCTATGTGGCTATGGGTGGGGCGGATATCTGGTGGGAGGGGGGCTGTTGGGAGTGGGATGTTGCGGCTGGGATTGCGATTCTGCAGGAGGCTGGGGGGTTGGTTACTACGGCGAATCCGCCTGAGGATTGGGCGAATGCGCCGATTGAGGAGGCGGGGTTGGGGAGTCGGTTGTATTTGGCTATTCGGTGAGTTTTCTTTTTCTTTTTTTCCAACGCTTATATGTGTGATGTGGAGAAAGTGCTGACTTTGGGGGTTTTTTTTAAAGACCTGCAGGACCCTCTGCGACAGAGACAGGACGACAGAGTCAAGAAAGAACGGTACGCGAGGTATGGAGGAGAGTACGGCATCTAGACTACTCGCGTCCAGGAGCGTAGAGTTCAGCTTTTTAAGAAATCAACAACAACTGTATAGAATTACATATATCAATCTTCATTTTTTTGGTCTCATTCAAGTCATATAAGTATATACATTTTACAACCTCGCCTCACTCAACTTCCTCGCAATAGCCTCCTGCACCTTGTCGACCGGCAACTCCCTCACCTCCCTCGCCGTCCAATACCGATCCTGCTCCAACCCCTGATAAATCAGCGCCTCGGTCCCCAGCACAATCTGCCACCCCTCGTTCTTCCCTATCTCCGCGATTTCCGTCCATGTGGTAGGGTGGTAGCACATCTCCAGCAGCGCTCCCTTATGCTCTTTTTGCAAGAAGCAGTTGAGTATATCGCGTGCTTCGTGTTCTTGGGGTGAGACGGGCGAGAAGTTGGGGACACAGGATACGATTGCGCCGACGCCAGGGAGCGATTGCGCTTGGGAGAGGGACGAGACGTGGACGAGGGAGGAGCCGTAGCCGCGGGTGCTGCATTCAGAGATTACTGCTGAGACTTCGGAGGCGTCTCTGTTTACCTATTTGGATTTGCGTCAGTGAATTCGTCCCAAGATGTCTGTTTGTAGCACAGTTGTTCTTTTTCTAGCTAGTTATGTTTTTCCGATTATGGGAAGGGTAAGGGAATAGCGAAACTTACAAGATAAATAGCACTGGCTTTCATCCATTTTCTCAGAGCGTAAACGGCACTTCGGGCTGCGCCGCCGCCGCCAATGACGAGAGCAGGTCTGTTTTCGTACTTTGAGGCGTCGACGTTGTAGGCGAAGGCGTCGCGGATGCCGATGACGTCGGTGTTTGTGCCCATGTAGAGCCGTTTTCCTGTGGAGGGATCTTCTTGGATAAAGAGGGTGTTTACGGCGCCGACGTCACGGCCTTCTTCTGTTAGGCCGTCAAGATGAGGGAGGATGGCGACTTTGTGGGGCATGGTTACGGAGGCGCCTGTTGGAGAAGTTTAGAATTTGATGTTGTTGGGTTGGGATGTAGGCTTTCTTACCGTAGAATTGTGGGTGTTTGATTAGTTGGAGGAAGAGTGACATGTCTTTTGATTCTAGAGGGTATTGCGACCAGTTCAAACCTAGTCCATCGTATACAGTTTGGTGTAGCAGAGGCGACATTGAGTGTGCAATTGGGTAGCCGAAGAGGTAGCCATGGCGCTCTGTCTGGGATACGTCTGGTATTCTGGTTTCTGTTGATTCTGTTGACATTGCTGACGAGTGGGTTATGTGATTGCGGAGTTGAGGTTTCGTGCCGGTTTACGGTAATCGCAGGGTATCGATTTCTCAAAGTTGGAGTTGAATTGTCGTAGTATTATTAAAGTGGGGTGTAGGTAGATTATCTAGTCTGCTCAAGGTGCTGCTCTCAAGATAGATACTACGTACACCTTCTCCACCAAAGCCTTCCCAGCTCGTACCAACATGTCCGATGCCTAGTCCGACAAGCCAAAACTGGAGCGCTTGAGCCCCGGAAAAAGACACGGTGTATGTGGAGAAAGGCGCGTGCATGTTGTCAAGGTCCAAACTACGGACCGAAGTTCTGCTGGCGTCTGCGCGTAATGTCCAATGAACAGAGCGACAACGGCCGCTAAACCTCGCGTATAAATGCGTTTCCGGGCTCTGCATCACTACCAACCGCCTGGATAATACCAGCATTTCCGCATTCGGAACGAAAGGCGTGCAAATTGCAGTCTTGGGACGCGATCCGACGCGTAGGCCTGCAAATGCACTTCCCCGCAATCGCTCAAATCTTGGATCTGCTGGAAGAGAATTCGAAGATTCATCCGGGGCAGAATCTTACCATCACACTCCCGGCGAACCGGCACCACCACCAATCAAGTGGCGTCAAATTCAGTTTGACATTCTTACAGCCCATACTCCATGCGGAGTCCGACGCCTTCTCCACATTTTACTCCGCAAAAGAGCACGTTTTTCCTAGCCAGGGGTATATAGTATAGGTGCAGGACGATCTCTACTTTATCAAAGCCATCTCTTTTTTCATCGCCTTGCCGGCAGCTGCTTCCCCTGGCCTGGCTCGCAACTTCATCCCCCCTTTCACCAACACTGTCTGAGTCTCGGAAGCCAAGTCAGACAGCACCTTCATCATGGGTATTCTCGCACTCGTCGAGGACAGGCCGACGCCAAGGGCCGTTTACAACTGGCGAGTCTATACAGCAGCAAGTGTCGCATCATGGGCGGCTTGCATGATCGGATATGATTCAGCTTTCATCGGTACCACACTGGCACTTCCTTCGTTTGTCGAGGAGTTCCGCTTCAAGGAGATGACTACATCACATCTCAACACTACCAAAGCCAACATCGTCTCCGTGTACCAAGCGGGTGCCTTTTTTGGTGCTTTTGGCGCATATGTGTCGAGTTATTACGTCGGCAGGAAGAGGTCTCTAATCCTTTGGGTTCTGATTGTAAGTTGAACCCTCAGGCGACATTATCCTTTGAGAAGCAATCTAACCAGACGTGCTGTTTAGTTCATGCTAGGTGCTGGTATGATGCTTGGTGCCAACCGCGAAAGAGGACTCGGCCTGATTATCGGCGGCCGCGTTCTCGCCGGACTTGGTGTTGGCGGTTGCAGCAACATGGTACCCATTTACATCTCTGAACTATCACCGCCAGCTGTGCGTGGACGACTAGTCGGTATTTATGAGCTCGGTTGGCAAATCGGCGGACTGGTTGGTTTCTGGATCAACTACGGCCTTCAAGAGACAATGGCACCTTCACACCGACAATGGCTCATTCCATTTGCTGTTCAGCTCATTCCCGCAGGATGCTTGCTCCTCGGTGCCCTCTGGATGCCAGAATCACCACGATGGTACTTGGCAAAGGGAAAGCGCGAAAAAGCGATCAAGGATCTTTGCTGGCTTCGCCAACTCCCAGAGGACCATACGTACATTGTCGAAGAGCTCGAGGCTATTGACCATCAACTAGAGCACGAGAGGGTCACTGTTGGCCCAGGCTTCTGGAAACCGTTCCTGGCACTCAAACAACGCAAGGTCATGTGGCGTGTCTTCCTCGGTGGCATGCTTTTCCTCTGGCAAAATGGATCCGGCATCAACGCAATCAACTATTACTCTCCGACCGTATTCAAGAGTCTAGGTGTTACTCAGGGTTTCCTCACCACTGGTATTTTCGGAGTCGTCAAGACCGTCATGACGTTCGTCTGGCTCATCTGGCTCATTGACTACCTTGGTCGTACCAAACTTCTAATGATTGGCGCACTTGGCGGCTCTCTATGCATGTGGTACATTGCTGCCTACATCAAGATTGCTCAACCCGGAAGTAACCCGTCCGGCGACCTTTCACCGGGAGGAATTAGCGCTATCTTCTTCTTCTACCTATGGACTACTTTCTACACGCCTTCTTGGAACGGTACCCCCTGGGTCATCAATTCTGAGATGTACAGCCAGCAAACCCGATCTCTAGGTCAGGCATTTGCTGCGGCAAACAACTGGTTTTGGAACTTTATC